GTAGTTTGGTACGTAGAGAGATGCCTGACCTGCAGGAAGGTCAAGGCAGAGCACCAGAGGCCGCACGACAAGATGCAGCCGTTAGACATTCCCGTTTGGAAGTGGGAGGATATCACTATGGATTTCATCACTAAGCTTTCCAGGAGAGCATCTCGGCCGAGAAGTTAGTCGAGATTTATGTTCGAGAGGTAGTGGCACGTCATGGAGTGCCTGTCTCGGTGGTGTCAGACCGAGATGTTCGTTTTACTTCCAGATTTTAGAAGCAGTTTCATGAGGAGATGGGGTACTCGTCTCCACTTTAGTACTGCTTTCCATCCCCAGACGGACGGGCAGAGTGAGAGGACGATTCAGACTCTTGAGGACATGCTACGTGCATGCGTGTTAGATTTTGGTGGCATTTGGGATACGTATCTTCCGTTAGCGGAATTTTCGTATAACAACAGTTACCATGCCAACATAGACCGGCCTCCCTTTGAGATGCTCTATGTGAGGAAGTGTAGGACCCCAATCTGTTGGGGTGAGGTCGTTCAGAGAGTTATGGGGAGTACGGAGGTGGTACTCATGACCACAGAGCGGATCCAACAGGTCCGAAGCAGGCTCCAGACTGCTCATAGTCGGAAAAATAGCTACGGCGACAGGCGGCGTTCAAACTTGGAGTTCCAGGTGGGCGATATGGTCCTCCTGAAGGTGTCACCCTGAAAGGGTGTCATTCGGTTCTGGAAGCGGGGCAAGTTGGGCCCCAGGTACATCGGCCCGTTTAGCGTTTTGGCCCGGGTAGGTCGGGTTGCTTACCGATTAGACCTTCCAGCAGAGCTCAGCCAGATCCACAACACTTTCCACGTTTCTCAGTTACGAAAATGCTTAGTGGATGATTCAACAGGGGTACCCTTTGAGGATATTCCGGTTGATGACAGCTTGAACTACATCAAGCGACCCGTAGCTATCCTTGACAGGAAGTCGCAGGATTTGAGGAACAAGAGAGTGGATTTGGTAAAGGTGCAATGGCAGCACCGCAAGGGTTTGGGGTGGACTTGGGAGCCCGAGGAGGAGATGAGAGAGCACTACCCAAGTTGTTCTCAGATCCAACAGACTTCGAGGACGAAGTCTAAGACAAGTGGGGGAGAATTGTAACGCCTGGTTCTTGGTACGCAATTAACCTTCATATTATTTTATTTTTGAAGGGCAACTCGATGAGTTGGTAGCCCTAACTCGTCGAGTAGAAGGCAGATTAGACGCGGGTTCTTAAGTGAGCTACTCGACGAGTCGATGCCCTGACTCGACGAGTAGGCCAGACTGGATGAAACCCTAATATTTGGGGTTTGCACCCTATTTAAGCAACATAACAGGCCTCCACCCCAGCCTTCATCACCTCCACATACCACTCTCAAAACCCTAAGCAGCCATTGAGTGTTATTAAGCTTTTCTTGCCTTTTTGTGTGATTTGAAGTTAGAAGGAGGAAGGAAAGGCTAGAAGATCCAAGGAGCAGGCAGAAGATCTGGTGTTTGTGTTGCATTATAGAACTTTTGGAGGTACAAAGCTTGTACCTTGGCTTCTTTCCACTTAGATCTTCATTTAAGTTGTTTATTGTCATTTTGGGCCATTTCTAAGGCCATTTCCGAGTTGAGAGCTTTTGGGGACGTAAGGACTTTAGATCTAGGCACTCTTGAGCTCCAAAAGCTCAAAGTTGCCACCTTTATTCAGTCATGTCCCCATTCTATGCATTAGGTCTTCATTTTAGCTTGGTTTTCGTGTTTTAGCTCTATAACATCATGCATGCATGTAAAGTTAGCAACTTTACGTGTAATGCTAGCCTAAGGAGTCCAGATCTATAAGTTGGAAACACTGGAATGGATTAGAATCGACTGAATGGATATGTCACAAGGAGGACTCGACGAGTTGTTCTTGGACTCGGCGAGTCGGGTCATGAACCCTAACTCCTTTTCTGGTTATGAGTGAAACCACTGAGTTTAGGAGATGACTCAGTGAGTTGGACAAGTTTAGGACTCGGAAGTTGAAGAACTCGACGAGTCCAAGGAGGCACTCGACGAGTTAGAGTCGATATGTCCCGATGTTATGACAGGAAGAACTCGACGAGTCTGAGAAGGGACTCGACGAGTTGACTTAGTTGACCACGGGTCTGAATTGTTCATGAAATCGCCGAGTGGGGAGAAGACTCGGCGAGTTGGGGTTCACTGCGAGTTGACCTTGACTTTGACTTTGACTAGGACGTTGGCTTGGACCAGGGGTAAAATGGTCATTTTACCATATGAAGAGTATCAATTTTTGATTAAGTGTTATTATAGATTTATAGTCGTAGAGTCGCCAGGACAGCAAAGAGGGATTCCTCACTCGAGTTCAACATTCAGTTTGAGAGGTGAGTTTTCCTTCAGTAGGAACGGGTCTACGGCACCAAGACCGACCCGTATAAGTAATATGTAGTAGCTTAGAGTGGGCGGGGCCCGATGCTTATATGTAGTGGCTAAGTGTGGGCGGGGCCCGAAGCATTAGTAGTTTAGATTGGGCGGGGCCCGATTCTCTTAGTATTATTTTAGTATAGATATGTGATTGTTTGGTAGATGTACTTGTTGTCTGCGTGATACTTGTATGCATGTTAGTAGCGGAGTGTGGGCGGGGCCCGAATCTCCTAGACAGTGGAGTGTGGGCGGGGCCCAAATCTCCTAGACAGCGGGGTATGGGCGGGGCCCGAATCTCCTAGACAGCGGAGTGTGGGCGGGGTCCGAATCTCCTAGACAGCGGAGTGTGGGCGGGGCCCGAATCTCCATGAGAGTGGGCGGGGCCCATATCTCATAGTTGCATGATTTTTGTATGGTATGTGGTAGTTTGGGGAACTCACTAAGCTTCGTGTTTATAGTTTTCAGTTTTGGTTTCAGGTACTTCTTCTAGCAAGGGGAAGGGTTCGAGATGATCGCATGAAACACACCACAGCTTCAGCCTGAGATGTTTAGACTCTGATATTTTCATATGATATTGATACAGTATTTTGACACAATGTTTTGAGATACACGATTATGGTTTTCTTTATGATAATGGATGGCGTATGGTTTTATTATAAATGATTTTAAAAAGAAATTTTTGGCCTATATTTTGGGATGTTTCATTATTTATAGAGTGTAAAATATAGTAAATGTTTCATCCTAATTCTATTTTATATTCGACAAATAAAGAAAATTAGAAATGAATAGTTACACTATAAATTAGAATGACCACCGAGTATGTTACTATTTTTTGTAAAAAGAAGAAATATGTTGCTATTTATGGTAAATAAATTTTCATATTATGCTTTTTTGATATCTGATCGTACCCTCCTAATTTTTGTTCACAGTAACTTATTTCATCGTTCTCATAGTTACAAGTTTTAGGTTACATATACTATTATATGTAAACTTTTTTAAGTATTTTGTTATTTTTGGAAAAGAACTAAAATTACATTGCTATTCTTTAGACAAATATCTTTACATAACCTACTCTTTTCAAGTTATGCGGGAAAGGTGTACATGAAAGTTATTGGTGCTAACTCGACTTGCTCTTCATATTCTCCACTTTGGTACTTTTGAGGTAGCGTTTTTAGGAGTCTTTGTGCCATCTAATTTTTTTTAAAACCATTCGTGTTATTTTACATTCACAAAACTAATCAAGTGTCATCTTGTATGGAAGTTACATACTAATTTTATCTTACGTCATCACACTATGACATTTCTGTAATGTCTGTTGACTGAAAAATGGAAGCTTCATCCCTATGGTTAGCACAAAAGGGCTACGTAACTCTTTTTTCAAAACTATACCTTGTTTATATTTTTAAGTATACAAGTCTATATAACATTGTAAAATTGATTTGAACACGAGTTCCTCTGAAATTTAAGTTCAAAAGCATCATAGTGTATATGTTGTTACCTCCGACCCACATTTTGTATGTTTTGTGTGTTTATGTCACAAGGAAACCAAAATTCGTGTTTTCTATCACAGACACATTTTTGAATACTTAGACCACTATTACATACAGACCCGTCCCAGAGGGTGAGCGATAGGGGCGACCATCCAGGGCCCATATTTTAAAGGGGGCCCAAAAATTTTACAGACTTTATTAATATAATGTTAGACATGATCGATTTTGAAGATATTATTAGTGATTTTGCATCTCAAAAAGTTAGAAGAAGTATATTTCTTTAAATATATGAGTTTTTATAATCGAAAATGTTATATTTAGAAGTTAGTATAAGTAATTTTTTTTCAATTATTAAGTTAATATAAAAATAATTAATGAAATTTGTATATTTTAAGGACATTTTTTCCTCTTTTGTTATGGGCCAATTTGTGACGATTATTTATTAAAAGATATTTTAGACCGTTCTCAATCGTAATACAAAAATATCACCAGTTTTTTGCAATTGGTGAATTGCATATTCTGAAATAGAAAAATAGAAAACCTTGATTGATGTGTCCGGGCAAAACTAGTTGTAGCAAGTAGTTGGTAATGTTTTGTTTAAACTAAACGTTAAACGATTGTAGTGCAAAACAAGTTTTTTTTTTTTTAAACGGAACGTTTTGTCAAACATTAGAAGATAAAATCTCTCAAACACTCTGTGTCAAACACACCTGGTGTAATTAAAAGAAACCTAAAAAAATTCCTACTTCAAATTTTTAAAAACATAAATCACCTGATATAAATTTAGAAAAAAACCATAGAAGCAAATCTTGATTTTTTTTTAGAATTTCCCGATTGGCCATTGGCATAATTAATTATCGGTTTTGTTATGGATGGAAAGATAATCAGTTGATTAAATACCAGTATCATAAAATATTTTAAGTATTTTGATATTTTAGTATGCACTAACTAATCTTTGATTTAATAAAGGTTGTGAGATTAAAGATGATAATTAAGTCCATGATAGACGTTGTAACGCACATGGGCCTCACATGGGTAGACGCATTTATTGAATAACAGGGCTGGAAGGTATACACGTCAGTCAATCATAATAGGGCATCATCCACTTCATATGTTTCAATAATGTATATGGGACTGCCTCCATAAAAGCATCCATATAGCTGGCCATTGCCTGAAACCCCAAGTTTGGTGCTGTTTTTGGTCCCCCAAATAATACTCCTTAAATTCCACATATCCTAATTTCGAATATTTCCTCAGTAACCTAAAATACCACCTCAATTATCATACCTTCGTTTTTAACACCCAAAACTATGGAGTATCGGGTTTTGAAGGATTCGAATTCGAACGTTACTCTGACATGGAGCAATACTATATTCTAGTATATAGTATAGCTATGGCTACCTACCTTGTTGTCTACTTAAAGTACATTTTTTTAATCGATTTAGTTGGAATTATAATTTATTTTTAACTTTTTTTTTATGGCGATAAAGAAAAAGGCTTCTTACCTTACCCTAACATTTATTGTTCTTCCACCTACGCCAGCTATGTACCTTATGCCATGACTACAAAGCACAACACATAATGCAACATCAACAGACATCAACAAAAACAACAGAAACATAGGCATTGAGTAATTTTACCTAAAGAAAGATGTTCAAGTCGGGAAGATGGAAGGCCCAAAACAGCAAGATCAAAGTTATGTTTCAGTTGCAATTTCAAGCAACACAGGTAATATATATACATATATGTTTTTAGTTTTTAGTTTTTAGTTTTTAGTGTTTACTGTAATGTGATTATGGTTTTGAGTTTTGAAAGTTTACCTTTGATTGTAGGTGCCAAAGGTGAAAGGAAAAGGGTTGATGATATCTTTGATTCCGGGGGATATTGGGAAGCCTACAGCGAAACTAGAGAAAGCTCCGGTTGTTGAAGGGACTTGTACATGGGAAGATCCTATTTATGAGATGGTTAAATTGGTTAAACATCAAAAAACCGAAACATATAAAGAGAAAATTTATTTCTTCAATGTCCAAACGGTGGGTAAATAGTAACTACTATAAAAAAAATTTAAAATTCCCATCATTTGATTTTCTGTCGTAATGTGTTTTTGGGTTATTACATACAGGGATCTTCGAAATCAGGTTTTATTGGAGAGGTTGGGGTTGATTTTGCTAATTTTGCAGAGGCAACTGAACCTTTTCAACTTTCTCTCCCCTTAACAGCTTCAGACTCTGGCGCAATTTTACATGTAAGTTTTTTTTTTTTTTTTTATATAACATATAAAGGTTGTTGATATTTTATTTACTAATACTTGTGAAATGGTGAAATGGGACAGGTGTTCATCCAAAAGATGCAACGAACAGATGAACAGAGGTAATTAATTAATAATCAATTTTAAATTTCTTTAACATGAATCAATGTAATAATATTCATTGATTTTTGGGGGTAGTTTCAGGGAGTCTGAAGAGAATGAGTCACTGAGGTCTGAATCACTCAGATTGAAGAATCAATTAAGTGATAGCAGTGAAAACGGGAATATCCTTGATTTTGCTGAAGTAAGATTAATTACATTATATAATAAATATATGTTAGTTACTAAAGACAACAAATTCTGGATTTTTAATCAGGATACAACTGTTTCAAGGAACTCAAAACCTGTGAATAAGAAGGTTGAAAAGCATCAAAAGCAAAGATCAAGCACAGATTGGTCAATGGGTTCACTTTCAGATAGAAGTATGGCTGATTTAATAAACAGCCCAGAGCACAACAACAACAACAATCAAATTCAAAACAATGAGGATCAGAGACTTTATGCTGAAGCATCAAGAAATGCAGTTGAAGTTTTGAAAAGTAATGTTTCAAGGTTGGAAAGGCAAGTGGAAATGTCAGATTTGGAGTTGGAGTCTCTTCGTAAGCAAATACATAAAGAGAATAAACGAGGACAAGATCTGTTGAAGAAAGTAACTGAACTTCAGGAGGAGAAAGAAGCACTTGAAGAGGAAAAGAAAAAAGATATTGCTACAATGAAGGAGTTGTATGGTGAACTAGAGGTTGAAAAGAGGGAGAAAGAGGAGTTGAAGGTCCATGTTGACGATATTACCCTCGATTACAAGTTTTTATTACAAGAGAACGAAGATATGTCTTTGAAATTAGAGAATGTGGAGAATGAATACTCGAAGTCGTTAACCATGGTTAAACAGTATGAAATCCAAGTGAAGAGATTAGAGGAAAAGGTTATGAATCAAGCTTTGGAAATTTCTCAATCTTTTGATACGATTAGTGAATATGAAACGCATATTAAGGGATTAGAGAAAGAATTGGAGAAACAAGGGCGTGATTTTGAAGATGATGTGGAAGATTTGATGAAATCCAAATTAGAAGCCGATGAGGATTTGAGAAATGCAAGGTTAGAAAATCAAAGTTTGAAACAACAGATGAGAGAAATGCAAGAAGCAGTTGAGAACTCAAACGTAGAGCTCTTGTTGATGAAAAGTACACACAAGAAAGAAGTAGAGAAGCTTTGTGATGAAATGAATATGCAAGAAGAACAAATTAAGGAAATGTCATTAGAGCTTGAGAAAGTTGGAGAAAGAGAAGAAATGGTGACAGAATTTGGTTCATTAAAGATGGAAACAGAAAAACTACAGAAGGAATCGACAAATTGGACAAGTTTGATGAGTGAAAAGAATGTTATGATTAGAACTTTGCAATCAGAACTTAAAATGCTAAGAGGTGATTACAATGAGTTGCAAGAAAGATTATTGGGAATTGAGTCAGAGAAAGTCAACCTAAGGAAAGAGGTTTCTAAATTAGAGCATAACTTAAGGAAGAAGGAAGATCAGCCAAAATATCTGAAACTATTCCAGGTAAATATTGCAAATTAAATTCGTAAACATTTTTTCTATCTTTTTTATTTTAATAATTACATACGTAATAATTTTATCTTTTATTTATAACAATGCTCAATATGGACTCTAGATTTTATCTTTAGATAAGCAGGTTTTCTAAAACATTTCACATACATGAAGATAAATTAGTTAAACTGAATAAAAAAAACTATTGAAGAGGTCAATGATTATGGATGTTCAAGAATAAATTACAAAAATGGTCCTTGTGCTTTCTGATTTTTACCATGTTCAATCCACAATTGAAACATTGTCCAGTTTTGGTCCTTATTTCAAGGTTTGGTCCTTGGGACTTCACATTTTGGTCCTTATTACAAGATTCCAAGGACCAAAATCGATATGAAACCTTGTAATAAGGACCAAAAGCGAAGAAGATTTCATTTTTGGACTACATGGTAGAAAATCAGAAAGCTCGGGGACCATTTTTGTAATTTACTCAAAAATCTACTTGAATAGCACAATAAAAGGTCAATAACTCAAAAATCAGAAAGCTCAGGGGGGCATTTTTGTAATTTACTAAACAATCTGCTTGAATAGCACAATAGAAGGTCAATAACTCACAGATGACTAATTTTTGCAGGAAAGTAAAGTAGATTGTGATGTGAGCACTAGCAAGCAAGATGAGCAGAAGGTGAACAAATTATTAAGTGAAATATCATCATTGGATGAAAAGAACAAACATATGGAAAGTGAGCTGAAAGAGATGCAAGAAAAATATACAGAAATAAGTCTTAGATTTGCTGAGGTGGAAGGTGAAAGACAACAACTGGTAATGACTTTGAGAAATATTCGAAATGGTAAGAAGAAATAGCACTACAGTAGATAATAATAACTGTAACATACTGTGGGGTTTTACTTTTACCTCAACATTACAATCTTCTGTTCAGAGTTTGATCAGTCTTATCACTCCAAATTAGCTTGCTTTGGCCCTTGCTTCCATCTGTAGCAAAAGTTAGCTTCTGTAACAAAGTAAAAAGAATTTCATGTAAGATTTATACACATTAGAAGCATGAATATTAGAATATTAGAATATTAGAATATTAGAAGTATGAATAAAAATAACAAACCCTTTTTGCTCTCTTGTCAATTGCTGTCCATGTTTGTGGCAATGAAGGTGATGATGACTTTACAGGTTTTGATGAATTTGATAATTGAATTGTCCCCTTTTGTTTGTGTTCCATGTTTTGCATGTTGCTGTTCCTTTTGTACCTATAAAAGTCAAGTATAGATGGACTTTTTCTCTTTCTAAACTTTGATGAATTCCCTGAGTTTCCAAAACAAGGAGCAGATGAAATTAATGGAAGAGATTGCTGACGCATCCTGCTCTTTTCCTTAATTCTGTTTAAAAAATCCATAGTCCATGGTGACCCTTTCTGTGGTTGACCTGATGAAATAGCTTTTGATAATGGTGTCTCACCATTATTACATTCTCCCTTCTCTTTACAAAAAATTCATTGGAGAATTCACTATTGAGGACACTTCTAAAGTTGTCACATTCTCCATTAAATCTGTTTGTGAATTCAGTGTAATCTCAGCAGCTGTAGGAAAACTAGGAAGACTCCACCAATCATTTTTTCTAGTTCCATAATTGTCTGGAGCACTTCTTGTTGGAAAAGATTCAGTGTGCCCAAAGGTGAAGTCCTCACCTGCCATGTCATCATCACTAATGTCAATAACTTGACCTTTATACCCTTCTTGCAGACCTTTAGATCTTTGTTTTTCACCAAAATACATCTCATCAAAGTCCATGTTGGTTTTTGGAGTATCCCATGTAACATCATTAAACGAGTAATCCATGTTCATGTTCATGGGCATGTCAATGTACTTTCTTTTTTTAGACTCATGGTCAATTTTAGGACAACAATTTCCAGAATCATGTCCAGAAGAAACTGAAGAACAGCAATCTGTCATTCCTGATTTAGAATCTTCTCTTTCTCCATATTTACACAAAGCAGTGAACAATATGATGCTTGATTCAGGAACAAGGTACTTTTTTACAGCACAAACCCTTTGCTGATGTGGCATTTCAAGAAACTGAATGAGTGATCCGACTGATGAGAGTATTGCATGAGCTGAGAGGGGATTAACCGAAGGGAATCTGGATAGAAATGATTCAGCTAATGTTTCTGATTCAGGCATTTTGGGATATAGACCTTTAGTTGACTTTGCAGCATGTGAAATACAGTTGACTATTATCTCATCAGTTGTATCACATGAATACGAACAAAAGAGTTGTAAGTCAATTCCTAGACTTGCTGCAGCTGCATATAATTCATCTGATGATTCCATTATACCACCAAGGAAACCAACTTCTCCTTCAAATATCTGTAAAAAAAATTATTTTTCAAAAATGTCAATTTAAATGAATAAATGAATGTGATTTTGAGTTTGAGTTTGAATTTGATATGATACTTACTAGAATGCAGCCACTGAAAGCGAAACTAATTGATGTTAAAACATTTGCTGCAATATTTTCAACACATGAAGAGCATTCACTATCTGAAGAAGATGTCTTTGTTCTAATGTTTTTGATGTCATACAACACTAAACAAACTGCAGCACTAATTATAACATCAACTGGTAGATTTAAATCCCTTTCAACAACTTGTACTCCTTCTTTCTCCATTGCAAGGATTTTTTGGTATGTGGATCTTCTTGAAATTATCATTTCTGTATCAACATTTTGGGTGTTCACAATTATGATGGCATCAGGTAACGAACTCGTGTTTGTGTTGATTTTCTTTGATTCCATTGCTGAGGGCAATTCCGGTATTTTGGTGGTATCATGTGTCTTGAGTAGACTCTTAGATGAAACCACAGGAAGGGTATAATCCATTTCAAGTTTCTTATCTGTTGCTTTCTGCTTTTTGACAAAAGTATCCTCTAAGGAGTTTAAGAAGAAGTCTAGATCATTAAACTCTGACATTGATTCAACAAACTGAGGATCCTTGTTCACCTTATTGTCAACTAAAGCTTCTCCAATTTCCATCTTCTTGCTTGTATCATTTAACTTACTTGAAGCAATTCCATTATGAGGAACAGAATCCATCAAATTTCCACTCATTTGTATTTTCAATACCTCAATGTTCTCTTTACATTTTTGCTCATCTGAACATTCATCAAATAAAACAAACTCCAAAATCGAGATCTGAATGTCACATGATTTCATGTTTGCATCGACACTGTAAGTGTCTATATCCTCAAACATTTTCAAAGAAGTGGATATATTATGACTGGAATTGGAAATATCTTCCTCTAATAAATGCCAATCCAAATATATATCATCTGAAGTAGAGGAAGGTTGCAGCTTCAACTTCAGAAATACTTCCTCAACGATTTCTTGTACTGAAAGTATCTTTTCATGATCAGAAAAAATAGGAACAGGTAGGGATTTGAAAGAATCATCTCTCAGAGTAAGTTCATGTTTGACAATTAAGCCATTGAAAGTGATCAAGGTTGTGTCCCCAAACATCTGTTCACAATGTTCTTTTTCATTTTATAACTTCAGTGTTAGAAAACACTTGAGAAAAATGGGAAGTATTTGTATCAAAGAATTTGAGTGGCTCAAATACAAGTGGGGTCAATGTCAAAGAGGAATATCCATGGTTAATGGCATTTATGATGTACTCTGGATCAAACTTCACACATGATACCTCAAATTGATGACATGGAACTGGAGGGTGGTTTAAAAGATGTTCCAATATGTTGAATTCTGTAGAAAGAAAATGCTCATTGTCATCAAATGCCAATTCATCTTTTTGGATCCATTGTTGGGGTTCATTGCTTTCAAATATGATATGTTTGTCTTTCAGATATATTGCTGTTAATTCCCAGACTTGTCTCGTCTATTTCCAAAAGAGGAAATGTTCTAAGAGTGGAAGATATTTGGCCCTGAATCAAACTGCCATTATCAAAGATATCAGACCTATGATCTTCCTGGAACTCTAGATGATAATCTTCAATATGGAAGATTGATTTCTGTATATACAGAAGTTTTTGCACCTCATGTGAAAAATCAAGCAGATCCTGTAAAAAAAAATGAATTTCCTTAAGAAAGTGGCTTTAAAGTTTCAACACGAAGAATATTATAGTAAATTTTGTACCAGATTAACTTCTTCATCTGCAATTTCAAAGAAAAATTGCATCTTCTCCTCATGCAAAATACAAGAATCTTTCTGCAGGTGACAGAGTACAGACTTAAGCTGAGAATAAGATATATAGTTACATGTACATGACTAGTTACATCCTTAAGTGGTTGGAACACAAGTTAACTGTGATATGAGAAAGTTGCTTACCAAAGATAATTGAAGTTCTGGAGTTTCAAATTCAACTAATTTAGAGATGTTGTTAGAAGCACCATCTAAACAGCCATCAATTTTCTCCTGCAGAAGCATATACAATGAGTGAAAAGGGTAGCCCAAATAAAATTATGTGAAATGAATGATAAGATACTAAAATCTTTCAAAACTATTGGGAATTTTGGTGTCTCATGCTTTTCCAGCATGAATATCACTGATTCATGTAGTTATTCCCATCACATAAAACTCAAAAAGAAATGTAAACTAAAGAAGTACAACAACTGAAAGTATTCACTGCAAAACTTAACAATCATGAAGAACAAGATGTCCATGTCTGAAACTGAATCCAAATGTGTTGTATTCCGATTCCAGTGTATGTAACCTATGCTCCATGGCATATCATAAAACCAAATGATATTTCTCATATTTCTCTTCCTATAATTAGTTTAGAAACTTTAAAATAAGAGACTCGTAGTTGTGATAGTATCAGATAATACATTTTAAACCTATTTGGTAATTTCAACATCCAGTGTTAGCTGTGAATTGTAATAGTATCAGCTAATAAAAATTATAACACAAAGATATTGAACGCCACTAGCCCTATGATTGGAAAACGTTAAAGTTTTTCACATCAGAATTCACGTTAATACTATTTAATTAGGAATTCCTAAATTCAAATAGTAGACTTGCAAAACGGAATCCTGCATGCAGTTATACCATAATCCATAGAAAATGACCTTGGTAATAACTAATTTAAAGTCAAAATCTGAATTCCTTCTTGCAGTTATACCAGATATCACAGCAAACGACCTTCGTAATAATTAATTTGAAATCAACATCACGAGTAGGTGTATTCCAGAATCCACAAAACAATTTCAGTCTGAATAACAAATGTTCCATTAATAGATGCAAGTTAACTTCAGCAAAAGCTAATATGGTGCTCATAGACGTATTGCGAACAACGAACATATAATGGATGACCGAACAGAGTGACTTAAAGCTACCCGGTCGTTACCTCTGATGTTACAGTCCTCGCAAGTTGCTGATCGATATCGGAATTGATGTATTGAGGAAGAACGTCGGAGAAGAATTTACTGAGAGATTCATTGACGGAAAATCTCTCGATTTCAGGAAAGATGTTAAGAGAGGTGACTTGATCGAAACAGCAGAGGTTGTCAAAGTTGAAAAGTTCGGGTGAAGGGAGCTGAGGAGGTGGAAATCGGAGGAAATCTAGGGTTTGTAAGGATTGAGAAGTGGCGGAGGAGTTGAAAAAGTCGGTAAGAAAGCGAGTTCTCATGCCGGAGAGTGAATCAGTTTGCGACTCAGAGATGTTTGCTTTGACAGGATGGAATAGAGGGTGGTTACACAGAGGTCGGTTTCTTAAGCATTAACGTAATGTTTTCGTACCAATTTGGCGCCCATATGTGCAAAGGAACGGAGTAAGGAATTCTGATGCACACGAATTTAATTTAAAATTGTTTTTTTTTTTTGTATAATAATAATATTTTATTTTTATTTAGGAATATTGTCAACAAGATCTTTAAATTTGCAACATTTTAAAGATTTATTTTGTTTTTTTTTTCTTAAATTACCATATAATTTCCTAGGGAGGTAAATGAAATAAACATTCGTCAAACCGTTCGTGAGTTCTTTTATGTTCGTTTAATAAACGAACGAACATGAACATAAATTCTGGTTTGTTTAGTTAAACGAACGAACATGAACAATGATCTCGCTCGTTCATTTATGTTCGTGAACGTTCTTTTATATTGTTCATTTACTTTCGTTTATGTTCTTTCATTTAAGTTTATTTATATTCATATATGTTCGATTGTTTTTTATTACATTACTATATCATATATTTGTTTATGTTCATATATATATATATATATATATATATATATATATATATATATATATATATATATATATACAATTGTGTTTTTTATCTATGTTCGTTTATGTTCATTTAACATGTTCACAAATATAAACGAACGAACATGAACAATGTAATTTGTTAAACGAACGAACATGAACAAGAAAACTCGTTCGTTTATCTGTTAATGTTCGTTTATTTGTTCGGCTAACTTAACGAACGTACATGAACAAGCCATTGTTTGTGTTCGTTCAGTTCGTTTGTAGCCCTAAGTTTTCATTCGACTCCTTTAATTACCGATTTTTAGCTTTCCTTAAAGTGAAATTCGAAAAAAAAAAAAAAAAAAAAAACCTCTTTGATTTTGTATTTTTTTTTACGATTTTACCATATGTACGGTTTCTTTATTTTAATTTTTACCTCGTTATTTTTATAGAACTACTTAATTTCATTTTTTGATCTTTTTTCGGTTCAGACCGGTTATACATATATATCTTTTAACTTATAATTGTCTAGTTTAAGAGCAAAAGAGAATAGGGTTCTGACATTCTAAACACCATGCGCAAAGGGAGGAAAGCATATGTAGGGTTCAACATTTTGACACACAATCAAGAAAATAGAGGGAAATCAGTTGTAGGATTCGACATCTTCTCACCTTGGTAGGGCTCAACAGTCCAACCCAACTACTTTGACATCTCTCAACAAAAGGTATTATATATTTTTTGTATTATATATTTTTTGTTTTACATTCTCAGTAAAAGAAGGTTAAAATTGTTAGAATATTCCATTTGCACTTATTATTTAGTGATTTTTTATTATTATAAGTGTTTTTTTAGTGCTTGTTATTTTATGTCATGAATTTGTGATTTTTTTGTCATTTGAAGTGTCTTTTTGTAGTGTATATTATTAGTAAAACATATGTTTTCGCCTTCAAAAAATAACTTTAGTGAAGGATTCATTGCCAGTGAAAATGAGGAATATTTTGCATCTTCTACATATACTAATTCCATAAGGTTTGTATCTCTTGACATAGAATATGATATGTTTGTAGATGCCCAAAAAGAGGAAGATGTTTATCCTTCTATCATGAACATAGTAACATATCCTTTTCTTGTACTTGTTATACCCTCGCCATAAGGAAGATGACGAATTATTAGAGTTGTATTAAGGGGATGATTATGAAGAAGAGTTATCTAATGATTATTTCCACTTTAGAAGTTTAGACAAGAATATGGATGAATAAAATTAAGAATTTTTGGTCCAATATAATATTCACAAGCCCATGGTTGATTGGAAAAAAAATGAAATCTGAATTAGGGGACAGATATGAGAGTCTCAAATAACTAAAATTTTGTTTTAAGAACTATACAATAGGAAATGGTTACCATTACAGTTTGCTAAAAGTGATTATAAGAGGTTATTAGTACTTTGTGGGAAAGAAAGTGAGTGTCTTTATAGGTTGCATACTTCTTGGATTATAAATGAAACAACTTTCCAAATGAAATCTTTAAATGATAAGCTTAGATGTCAAAGAAATTTCGATATTGGGTCGTTAGTTGCTCCTTCGTGGATTTACAAAACACTATGTGTGGGGGATGATAAGAAATCCCACCATGGAAATATAAGAAATGAAAGTCGACATTCTAAGGAAGTCATGTTGTGCGGTAAGTAGTACACGATGTTTAAAGGCAAGAGATGAGGGATTTTTTCTAATATTGTAGAAAGGAAATTAACATATCATTATGTTATACCTTGGGTTATGCCCATGGAATTTTGAGATCAAACCTAGATAGTACAATAAAAGATTAAGTGAAAAGTTGAAACTCCTTCATATCGGCAAAAAGATTTAGTGAAAAGGTCATTGTTGCGAAATTTGGTCTCAAAAGTCTAATTAAACAGTTTAAGTTCAAAAGTTTATAGTTTCAAATAGAGCAAATTACACGAATGGTCCCTTTGGTTTAGGGTAATTTGCGTGTTTGGTCCCTAACTTATTTTTTTAACTCGGAAGGTCCTTACTGTTGTTTTTGTTACGCGCTTGGTCCCTATCTTACCTAAAAAGACTATATTGCCCTTGGGTTTTTAATTTATTTAAACAAACACACCTCCAACCCCACCCTCGTCACCTTAGCTTACCTACCCCACCATTTTTTTTAATTTAAATAGTAGTCCTTTTGGGTAAGACAGGGACCAAGCGCGTAACAAAAATAAACAGTAGGGACCAATCGTGTAACAAAAACAAACAGTAAGGACCTTCTGAGTTAAAAAAATAAGTTAGGGACCAAATGCGCAAATTACCCCAAACCATAGGGACCATTCGTGTAATTTACTCTTTCAAATACGATGGTGATCAATCAAATATCATTTACAAAAGTTAAAATGAACCAAAACAAACCATGACCTTCTAATTTTCCAAGTAGTCTTTAACCATAGATCTCATCCTCATCTTCGAGTACATGCCAAAATAATAATGTTAGGCTTGAGGAGCCAGGTGAGTAATACCAAAATTAGACCATGGAATGTAATTACACTACAAAAAAATGGTCTTTTGTGACTAAACTATCAAAGACTGATTAATCAGTCATGGATACCATGTATCTAGGACTGATGAATTAGTCTCAGATACTATCTAGGACTGATGAATTAGTCTCAGATACTATCTAGGACTGATTTTAATATGTAAATAATCTGAGACTAGCTAGACCTATTCGAGACTGAAATTTAGTCCCTAATATGTTTGTGCTAGTTTAGGTTTGGATGGAAACACATCAGGGACTGAATTTCAGTCTCGAATAAATTAGCGCCAATCTTGACTTTGGAGGGAAACTTATTAGGGGCTGAATTTTAGTCCCTAATATGTTCACATCAGTTTAGGTTTGGAGGGAAACACATTAGGGATTGAATTTCAGTCTTGAATAGATTAATGCCAATTTTGAATTGAGAAGGAAACTTATAAATGACTAAATTTCAGTCCCTAATTGCACCAAATTTGATTTTTTAAGGAACTAATTAGGGACTAAGTTCCAGTGCTTGATAGGGACTGAATTTCAGTTCTACATGAATATGGACATTGTTGATTTTTTAAAGCACCTTTTAGGGATTGAATTTTACTATTTGTGAAAATTATTGGGTCATAGATACAATATATCATAAACTGATGAATCAATAACTTATGATATTTTCATTGAAACATATTAAGGATTGAATTTCAGTCTCATATATACTAGAACCAATTTTGTTTGTATGGGAAGCCTTAGGGACTGAATTTCAATCCACTATTAGAAAAAAAAATTATAATGACAAAAGAATTACGACTTGCAACAATTTTATGATAGAGAAAAATGTATGTCCTAAAAAGTATATATATTGTGGTATTTTAACTTCTATATTTGAGAAAGGATAATACAACACTTCAATTTTTATTTATATTTGTCTTCTAAAGTTGTCATTTTATATTTCACCCCGAACCCCCTTCATAAGAGAATGTCCAAAAGAAATTGAAAAAAAAAAAATTATAAAGCTATGTATATCTTGCAATCCTCCATGAAGCAACTCCACAATAGTGAATCATCTTGTTCTTCAATTAACCAAAAGTTCACTAAATCGTCATATTTAATTAAAGCGTCTGCCTTTTGTACTCATCGATATTAAGTTGGTGCTGAGTTACTTCGACTTGGACCAAGTTTTTTAGACTCGAACCTACTTTGCCTAAGTTTTACTAAATGTTAATGTTTTCTGGCTGAGTAGGCCGAACTCGTCTTTTTAAGGGTCGAGTCTGAATACTCGCTAAGTACTTGGTCGTGTTTTTTGAGTTTAGGAAATTTCTATAATATTTTGAAAACTGGACCGGTCACCGGTCGTCTTATTGTTTTTATGGTTCAACCGGTTAAAAAAAATTGAAAAACATCGTTATTACATCATAACTAAATATAAAATTATATTATAAAATACAAAAAAAATAAAGAAAAAAAACTTTATAAGTAAAATACCAATGAAAATATAAAACTTTAGTAAAAAACCTATGATTCAATTATGTTTTTGTAGTTCAAAGTAGAGGGAAACACAAAAACTGTTTGTGAAATAGTCGGTGAAAACATCTATTTATTTGTGTGTAATTAATTAAAGAAAATTTGATTAAATAAATTAATATAATTATGGAAAAAAATGTAAACAGATGTATAGGATCACTTATAGCATTTGGTGGAAAAAATGTGATCCCACATCGAGACCAAAATGAAACATGCGGTGACGGCTTCCATTAGGGAGGAGGGAGTCATTCCCTCCAAACCCACTGAACCCACTGTCACATCAGTTTTTGTCTCTCTTTTTTCTTCATCTTTCCCAACCATAACATACGGAAATCCTATATTTCTCAACCCACTCAATTAAAAAAAAATACAGTTTAACTAAAGTACAAGTCTTAAAAC